CATTTGCATAGAAAAAGTGCAAAATTTAGAACCAATAAAACATTGAAGTAAAAAAAGGCAACACTAACAAGATTTATACTGCAAGTTTAACGTTTACTATATACTACAGAGTATTCTCCTTTTCAGTGTGTAGGAAACAGCTGATATAATCTTACAAGATCAGCCATTGCAGATATCTCCTCTATATGCAAAGAATTGTAAAGCTTAGTGTTCTAAGAAAGATAGCAAGTGGTTTTTATTTTGGATGTCAGCAAAACTGAATCAATCCTTAAAAATCTCTCTGCAGAAGAAAATCAATCATATATATACTAAAATATAGATGATTAAATATGTGAAAAACATTTCAGCTGAAGGTTTAAGTTAGGTGTGCATATTGTACTTAGCACATAAAAGACCACTATTCAAAGTGCCAAGTATCTCCATCTTCTGAAAGACTTGACAAAGCTGCCTTAAAGTATCTTCCAGATAGTTTCAGCAGGTATCTGCAAGCGAAACAACTTTGCCTGTATACCCTATGTAACAGATGCCTTTGCATACATACACAAAACAGCCTGGGAAGATCACTGAATCAACATTTGAACCTTTATAAGGCTACAAATACCTTAATGAGTGTTTTATAAAGTGTATAAAGTGCTTTATACAACTTTACAGTTTATCTAATAGGATACAAAAATCTAACTTCTTGAATTTCTTACATCTTACGAAATTGACCACAGATCTTCAGTGTATGTGCCTGATATTATTTACATGTTTCTTCTATACATCCTTACTACCGTTATCCATGTATTTCATGCCATACTCTAAATGAATAAATCTAAGATTTAGCCTGGCTCCCTCCAGATGATTTGGATTTAATTTTCCTCAGCTCAATCAACATAGTTAGTGATTAGGGGAACAAGTCTTGCAATATACAGCATCCAGAGGGCACCAGATAGCCTATCCCCAAGATTTCGTGTGTGAAGATTTTCTTTTCCAATTGTGTTTTTCACGCTGCTTTTCAACCTAGTATATTAACAGTGTTGATATTGTGCATTAAAATGGGGGGAGAGGATGCTATATATGCTAACATGAGGAGTGCACAGAAATGTACAAGTTGTAGTTCAAGCATACACCCGAGCTCTCTGTAAATTTCAAGTCTTATTTTAGGAAAACAAGATATATCCACCCTAATGTCACACTACCAGATTTTTTCACTGGATGTCTTTCATGAACAACTGACATGCACATTTAAGTTTGATTTTCCTAGGTATAATGTTTTTCTAAAGGATAATTCCACAAAATAGATGAGCTGAATAAATTATGGTTCAAAGCTCACATGCATTTTGTAGATTTTCTTAAATCAGAGTTGGTCATAATGTCCACAGTAACAAGTTACATATTTGCAAGGCATAGCAACTATTAGGAAGTTAGGGGGGGGAGCCTTTAAAGCAGCATTACTCAATGTGCTGGCCATATTGTGTAGACAGCAGCAGAATAGAGACAACTACTTTTAAGAAATAAAGAAAGTGAGGGATGAGTAAGGATACAAGTCAATAACACATTCCAAAGTTCTAACTCTATTAACTTTGAATCTGCTTTCTAATCCTTTCAATGTGATTTAAGAAAAAAAAACAATTCAAGAGAGAATGTAGAATATAAAGTACATTAATCCTAAAATAAAAATTAAGAATACAAAAAAGATATATTCATTAAGTGCCCTGTGTTATAAAAATATTTTCAAAAAGTGTGCTTTTCCCAAGACCACTGAGCTTTTATATCTAATTAATTGCTAATTTTATATTATCAATATGATGAAATAGTAGAGATTATAAAATGCAATCTAATAAATATTTAGATTAAAATGTAAATATTAGGGATGTACAGAGTTTCCAATTCAGTTCCAAAAGGTCCCTTTAATGAATATGAGACCATAGTCTAAAACTTTTTAAAACAGAGGCATCTTTTCCAAGGATCATGTGACTGTCTTGTAGAGCTGCTATATATTTTTGTAAATAGATTCAGTTGCTTTAAAGAGCAATTTGTATCCNATAAACATCAACATATATGTGTATTAAATATATTCAATGAAAAGTTGGTTCTTTGATTTTTTTTCTTACCGTATTTTTTTTTGGAGTATAAGACACACCGGAATATAAGACGCACCAAGGTTTTGAAGAGGCAATTTAGCAATAAAAGTTTTTTGCACTCTGCAAACCTCCCCAAAACGGCCCATTTTTCACGGTTTTTTTTTTTCAAAAAAAGAGCATGAATAGCCCTTAGGAGGCTTGTAGAGTATTCCTGGGGGAGGAGGGCCAAAAACAAGCAAAAATTGGGGATTTTTTTTGGTGAAAACAGGCCCATTTTTTTGTAAAAAAAAAAAAAAAAAGAGCATTAGGAAGGTTATAGAGTGCTCCTGGGGGCTGGGGGGGGAAGGCAAAATTGAAAAAAAATGGCCCATTTTTTGCTTATTTCTGCCCTCCCCAGCACCCGGAGCTCTCTGAAAGCCTCTTACAAGCTATGCACTGCCATTTTGGTGAAGGGGGCGGGGTTTTGGGAGGCAAAAAATGCTGTATTTAGTGTATAAAACGCACCCAGATTTTCAGCCTCTTTTTTGAAGGAAAAGGGTGCATCTTATACTCCGAAAAATATAGTAATTGATTGTATTTCTAGTTTATTAATGTTTGGTTATTAAGAAAATCCATTCAGCTGTTTATCTTTTTAATATCACGTGTCTGTTGTCCAAACTGGAAACATTGAGTGGCTCACAATAATAAAATAGAAAACAAAGGAGCTAATTAAATTCAAAATTAAAGTAATAATTTCATAATTATTTCAATCATTTTAAATCAACAAAGCATAATTACAGAGTTTATACAAAAAGTCATGAAGAATCCTGTAAAGTGCCAATATTATTTCTACTTTTTAGAAGCAAATCAAGATTCTAGGTATTTTATTTATTTATTTATGAAAGATATTACTTATTAGTACAGCAAAAATGTTTCAGATTATGCTGAAAGTTAGTAAAGCAATATTTTTGAACAATGTATTTAAAATTTAAACTACTAAAACACATGACTTTTCAGTTGTATAACCTAACCAGGAATTGATTATAAAAATAATTCAACTGTTAAAATCTATTTTCTTAAAATTGTAGTATCTTCAAAGTATTTTTCAATTGCTCTTGAAAGTTATAATCAAATTGATACAAATAATTGCTGATAAACTGTTTATTCATTTTGATCAAAAGCTTTTGAAGAAATTTGATAAATAACATGTGGCAATTAATTCTAGTTCTACTTTATTGTGAATTTTCCTTTCCAGATTCCAAAAATAACAAATAAATTCAATATCTTTTGTTAGCTACCATATTACTATAGCAAATCACTGAAAAGCTAAGGTACTTCCTTTATATGTAGCAGTATTTAAAACTTTGAGAAATTGTAGCAAAGTCTTGAATAACCCTTTACTTGAATTCTGTACAGTACTCAATTTCAAAGCTTACAATTTTAAAACAGTAACGTTGCCTTGACATTAAAAAATAAGTATTGCAGACTAGATACAAATTGCTAACTAACCAAAAGAAGAAATCATTTGGTATAATTTATAGCCTCTTCTGCTGTAACTCAATAGATCAATTTATTTATAATAAACACTACGAAAACAATGCTGAAAATCTGAAATGTTATTTTCAAACCAGGACAAAGTGTTCCAAAACTGTAGTCCACTTTGGTTTTATATAATGGATATGCAGTTTGTAAAACAAGCAGAACCAGTTGGTGGAAACATGTAGCATATTATCACCCTTAGAACATAGAGCACAAGTTTGCTCAATAAAAATACTTGTGTGTAGAAAGTTCATTTTCACTTGACAAAGTTGTCAAATGAAGAAACTTGAAACACATTTTATTCCTGCAGTCAGATTTTGAGTTCTATATTCGTTAATGAATGAAACAATACTGTTAACAAATAGGCTGCATCATCAGAATGTGGGAAAATCTTTTTCTATTTTCAGACTAGCATTTGATGACATTATTTTTCTATTTACTGCCTGAATGTTATTTACGTACTTTGTTGCAAACATTTTGCTTTAATTTTACTTAAATGCAACAGCCTCACTGTTTCAATAGGTTTTGGACAGCTCCTACGAAATAAATTTGCATGTTCCATCTTTTATTTGTGTAAAAGCACAGATCAGAGAAATACTGCCCATGGGGAATGAAGCATCCAACAATCAGTGATCTCAAAATATTTGGGGATTAAATTTTTGCAAGATTTGGTTGTTTTTTTCAAGATGTTGAGAAGGAAGCTCCCAATATGTAAAATCATGGGATGATCCTCATTCCTGAAAATATCATTGACACTTCATGTACAGTACGGAAACAGCGACACTGGAATTCAGCTGTAAAAAGCAAACGTTTTTTAAAAAAAACTGAACATTGTCATAATTTTAAAAAAAATGTTTACACAAAAGAGTTAAATAGTTTTAATTTTAAAAAGAAAACATTTTCACATAAAATGCATTGCCATGGTCTTTCATTAAGAAATTTGGGACCAACCATGGCAATTCAGTTCACCTTTCATCAATAACCAACATTAATATTTTTTTAAGTGCAGTGCTTTTCAATATTGCTAAATGTAGATTCCATCAAAAAAGTTCAGTTGAAATTTTTTTCCCCAACTTCTAATCCATAATGTCTTGAAACAGAGAAATACATGATCAAATATCATTATCCCAAATAGTGTATCCTTAGAACTTACCATTTAAATACATCTTAGGGTGTGTGTGTGGGGGGGGGAATGACGGAAGGAAAAGTTATTTGGTTTCTTTTCTTTTCCTGAGAAACAGAATGTTCACAGTTCTAAAAGTCATTGGTTCAATAAAGAGGGTGATAAGAACTGTAATGTCAACAGATAAAAGGGATTGGTTTTCTCAGTTTGTTTCTCAGTGGGTGTTAGTTCTACTAATTGACTCTGCCCAGGCACCTCAAAGAGTATTGCAAGAACATGCACTGTCTTCTTACCTTGCATTTTGGACATTTTTGAGCATTTCTTTGCCCATGTTCAATTTCACTGGCCCAGTGACGTAGCAGTTTGTCTCCCTTTTTGAACTCTTTGCAGTTGACACCTTCGTGCCAAGGAGAGTGGCACTTAAAACACCACACAAATTGGCAGGTTGGGCACTGGATCTGTTTAAGTAAAGAGCATAAAGCAATAAACTTCTAAACAAATGGTCATTGAACAGAGGCTGGCAGAGCAATAACACAGCTCCCCTCTGCACAAAAATGACAAGGGGGTATAGATGGTGAAGGCATGTATCAGAAAAACGACCTAATACAGGTAGACCTCAACTTGTGACCACAATTGAACTCAAAAATTTTATTGGTATTGCCCCATTTTACAATTTTTCTTGCCACAGTTGTTACATCGGTCACTGCAGTTAATACATTAGTAACCAGGTTGTTAAACAAATCTGGCTTTGCTTATGAGAAAGTCGCAAAAGATGATCACATGACCTTGGGACACAGCAATGGTTATAAATATGAACCACTTGCCAAGTATATGAATTTTAATCACATGACCGTGGGGATTCTGCAAAGATCGTAACTGTGAAAAACAGTCATAAGGCACATTTTTCAGTGCCATTGTAACTTTGAATGGTCACTAAATGAACTTTTGTAAGTCAAGAGCTACCTGCAATCTGCAACTACTCATTTACTCACACATTAAGATGAAGCTCTTAAGAAGCCTTACCATTTAGAGATAAATACATTTTATAGGGAATTAACTTTCTTGGGCAGCTTAAACCAATAACATTCTCTTGAAATCAGAGTGTGGTCACTGCAGGCTGATTTATATAATTTATCTCCCACCACACTAATTCCACTTACTTCAATTACTGTCAGTACAAAACCTGTTCTTATCACTAATATTAGTGCTCTAACCAAACATGGAAGACAAAAAGTAAAATATCCATTTATTATTACTAGCTGTTCATTTCATTGATCTTTCCATTGAGCACCAACTATAGACCACCTTTTCCTTAGGAAATTGATTAACCATATTTTTCGGACTATAAGATGCACCAGAGTATAAGATGCACCATGATTTTGAAGAGGTAAATTTTAAAAAGTTTTTACACTAAGCAGGCCTCCCTCTGCACACCTCATTTTTTGAAAAAAAAAAGGGGGGGGGCATGCAGACCCTTGGGAGATTCTTAAGAGTGCTCCTGGGGGCTGGGGGGGAATGAACAAAAAATGGCCAGTTTTCCCAGAAATGGGGTTGCAAAAAAAGGGGCATGCAGAGGCTTTGGGAGGCTTCTAGAGTGCTCCTGGGGGCTGGGAGGGGCAAAAACAAGCAAAACCAGTCATTTTTTGCTCGTTTTTGCCCTCCACAGCCCTCAGGAGCATTTTGCAAGCTTCCCAAACCTGCACGTCCATTTTTGCAAAGGGGATGGGGTTTCATTAGGCAAAAAATACTATATTCAGTGTATAAGACATACCCAGATTTTCACCCTCTTTTTTGAGGGAAAAAGATATGTCTTTTACTCTGAAAAATACGGTATACAAAAAGTTGCAAATTCTCATTATCAATCAATTGAGTAATGGTAAGTGGAAAACACTAATCAATATTCAATCTTTAGTAGATACAGAGGACAGGCTTCCTTCCAAGTTAATTAAAAAGTTAAATCAAATATATTTATATTTGTTGCGGTGATGCCTACTTTCTTTTTGGAACCTTGCACCCCCTGGCCCCAGTGCCTCCCAGTCAAAGGGTGTGATCTTCAGTTTATAAAAAGGTACAATGCTCCAAAAAAGAAGATTGTCTTGAAAGCCTATTTAATGAAAGTAGCTGCCTTCAATCTTACAATAAATGGAATCTGCAACAAATCTTCAGGTGTAAGAAGAATGCTCTTTTTCATTGACTGATAATAGACATCTGGGAATTTTTTTCAAGCTTTCTATCATATGTACATTTTCCTCAAAACATATTGTTTTCATTATATCATTGTTCATGGTTCAGTTTTGTAGTATACTATAATACTATTATTCTTACAATGCTTTGGTGGTAATGTTTAAGGAATACAGGAATCTGAGTTTTCAATATGCACTATGGACCAAGTACAACAACACAGTAATCTTTGTATGTTTATGTCTACATTTCCTCCAAGTAAAGCAAATCTCATTAAATGAATAATAGAGACCATCTGCTGAATGCTTTAGGTGTTTTACTTCTAAAATAGGGAAACATTCAGTCTTTATTCTCTTTCTCACCTGTTTTATGCCTTTATTTATTTAACTTATGAGCTGCCCATCTTGTCCAGTGACGACTCTCAGAATGGTTTTAACTTTTGTAAGAATCCAGAATGTCAGCTCTGTTACATTTATTGCAACATGCCAAATGAAAAACTGGTGTCATATGTTTATCTTTCCTACCAAGGTAATAAATTTATCTTCATATTGATAAGGCATTTTGACAGAACCTTATAGCTATTTGTCTGCAGCAACCTGGATATGATAAGGATTGTGGATTTGTTGCAATAGAACAAGTGTCTTGATAAGATTCCATTAAGATTTCAGCAAGCATCCTACTATTATTATGACCTCTGATCAAAGCCAGTTCTCTTGCATTAGGTTTTATATTCATAAGAATTTGTACAGCTCTAAAAATAATGGCATAGCAAAGCTGTTAGCAGAAGGTTAATTAAGCAGAGGTCAAGTTCATTATGTCTTTCTGGTCAAGACAAAGATCTATTTTATTTTAATTTTTGAAACATAATTTTGTGTTGTGGCCCGGCAGGAGCCGTTGGAGCTGTCACAGACTCCAACAGCGAGTGGCCCTATGAGTCGGCCCTGGAGGATGTGGAGGACCGTGGAGAGTGTTCCAACTCAGAGCAGGGCGCAGAGAGATTGGTTGGCCACCAGGTGGCGCCTGAGCCTTGGATCAGTGGGGAGGAGACAAGAGAGAGTGATCCAGAAATCAACAGTGAGTTGTTCCGGGATGCACGCCGTCGAAGAGCTACTCGGCATCAAGAACAACTACGTAATTACAGGAGGTAATTACGCTCAGCTGATGGTCATTAGGCTCCTCTCCAGACTATAAAAGAGACTGCTTGTGCCATGCCCTTCTTGCAGAAGTCAACGCTTTGACTAAAGAGAAACGGACTTCGCAGGCTGGATTGCTGCCAGAGTTTGCCTGAATTGCTGCCAAGCTTTGTCGGACTTGCTGCCAAGGTCCTTTATCTGTTTGTTTCAGCCACAGAGAGTCTGGACTTGTTTTTAAAGGACATTCTCATTTAAGCTTGTCTCGGCATTTGTTACTGGATGGAGGAGGGGGTCAGAACAGGGAACCTATGGCGCACGTGGCACAGTTGGCACACAGAGCCCTCTCTGCAGACATTTGAGCCATTTGCGCTCTACATGGGGCAGCCCTTGAAGAGTATTCGGAGACTTC